AGCCCCGCAGGTACCCCCGCAGCCCCCTCCCGCCCAGGACCATCCCGGGCATGCCCCCGCAGGGCGAGAGCGAGCCCCGGAGGGGCGAAGGGGAGAGCAGAGCCAGCGAGGGGGGATGGATAAAGGTGCAGCATGCAAAGAAATCCCACAGGCAGACCGCCGGCAAGCCAGGGAAGGAGAGGCCCCGGGGGAGCTGGCGGGGCCGAAGGACGTTCTGAGGCAGGAATTTGCCCCTTTATTTAACTGAACCTTCAACTTGGAGAAGATACTCCTGCTCCTATTTAGTTCTCCGCGCCAAAGCCCAGACAACGCCTCCCTCGCTCACGGGCAGCGCCGAGGGATTTTGTTGGGTTTTCTCCCCTCCCTTTGGCTGCTCATGTTTTCAGCCGACTGGATATCCACAGATTTGCTTAGTATTTCAATAATAAAATCAGTCAGGCACAGCTGGGTGCCATAACGAAAGGCTCTCTGTTTCATCCTTAGGGAAGGAGTTGTGCTGCTACATCTCCCCTCGCCTCGCTTATGTCTGCAGGCGTCGAGTCCGGCCCTGAGCCAGGTGTCCTCACCCCTTGTTCCATCTGCTTCTGCCAGGGCTATAGCAAGACTCAGACCAGCGTAATCTGAAAAAATAGGAACGGAGGGACGTTTTTCTTCAGGTCCAGTCCAGTAGCTTCACTTCTCCACTTCCAGCTTGCCATCCCCTCTCAGGAATTTCTCACCTCGCTCTTTACTGAAAAGCCCCAACACCACTGAGCACACTCTGTCACATACACAGTTGTCGTAATCAGAAAGAGAAACAAAAATTAGGCTTTATTCTTTTTGGGGAAAAAGTAAAAATAGAGGGAGAAAAAGGCATTGCCATTATCATAGCTACATGTAACCCCACTGAGGTCTATGATAATATTTATCCCTGGGCAGCAGGCACTTTTTAATTGAATTTTTAAATGTGGCCAGACTGTGTCGCTTTTGTCTTTCAGTCTACAGGTAGTAAAGACAAGGTCAGCAAAGTTTCTGATTAATGTGGTCTTTAGCTCCACCGAGAACAAAGACACAGCTGTAGACTCACTTGTCGTCAGAAAGTTTCTTCTTGGCCTTTTCACTCTTAAGTTGATTTCACACAATTAAAAAGGAGAAAAAAAAAAGTTAGGGTTTCCCAAGATGCAAGAGGGGGAAAAAGAAAGGAAGAACAGATAAAGGAAGCTCAACCCAAAGTAACGCATGGTACCTTCTGAAAGCCAACAAACTGTAAATTAGAGATGCCTTTGAACGAGGTGCTACATACCATCCATACCAAGCGGTGCTCATTGGCATTCAGTTGTGAGCGATGCTGGAGATGTTGCTGGCACGTCCCCCCCAGTGACCTCCATCACCCCCTCGATGATCCCCATCACTATAGCCCCATCATGGATGTTCAAAAGGACACATCAATTCCCTGCTCTACACAAAGGCCACTTCTGGGGATATACGGAGCTCTCCTCCCCGATTCCCACAAGCCCCAATAAGGGCTGAGCACTGTGGTGGGTTTCCCAATACCTGCCAGAGTGAACTGGGACTCACATTTCATGAATGCAGGACAGGGTCCACCAAAACCAATGGAGCAGGACACAACTGATACCAGGTGTCAGGAGCTGGAACTCGTATCATTTGAGCACCTTTTCCTCTGACAACAGTTAAGAGCAGAAAAAGTAAGTAAGAAGCTTTACCTGGAAGTGAGTGGGGCTGCACATGAAGCTCTGTGATAACAAAGTTTGCCGCTTTCTTGTGGCTTCAAACTGATTGAAAGCTAGTTAATAACCCAGCTTCTGGCCCTGGTTTACTGAACCTGACAACTAATCTGGGTGATGTTGACAATCCACCACTGGATGTTTCTCTGTCACAACCTGGTGGGAGACTGGGATTTTGTCTAGGTTGGAGATCCTTCCCTAACATTTCTTGCCGTGACCAAAATGGGCTGGAGGATACCAGCTGATAGTAACCGCACCTGACAGCACTTGCTAGAAATGTGCTTGTGTTATTAAAATTTGGATGTGCATCTTAGGAAGCGAGATCTTGTTTCATAGTTGGGTCTGCACAAATCCTAGAAATTGGAAGACTTTGGAAGGGTCCATTTCTCTTCCAGGGTGATGCGGATGGTGGTGTGGTTGTACAAGCCTGAAAACAAGGCCCTACCCAGCAGACACTGTGGGCTGGTGGTGGCAATTCAAGATTTATCAGCTGCCTGTGGTTGATTGTCAAGATGTCCAGCAGGATACCTCTGCTATTTGTAAGCAATTTAATGCTGTGCCTAATTTTAATCTGCAATGTACTGTCTGTCCACATCTGTTGTATTAAAGTGGTCATTAGCACTTAAAGGAGGAGCGGATGGTATTGGTCACGCCTATTGACATCAAACAATCATGCAATAGTGACTGAAATCCTCTTACTGCACCAGCATTGCTGGTTAAAGCAACAGTGAGTGAACTTGTCAAAAAAAAAAAAAGTCTCAGCAAGATCTAGTTTTCCATCTCATTTTTATTACTCTTAATGTGGCTACTCCCTGGTAATAATTCATTATACATCAAAATGTGCTTATGTTTTCACCCCCCAGTGCTTTATGACGCTGAGCAATTTATTTCCATGTTTTACCAACATGCAGCTAGAAGACCGTGCACAGCAATATGGAAAATCGGACTGTCTCAGACAACTACACCTCAGCAAATATCTGCCTTTTGGAAAGGAGCCGTGCTGCGTTTTCTTAGGGTTGTCTTACAAGTCTGTTAAAGGCAATCATAATTAAGTCCCAGTGTGTCTAGATTTGCACACCAGGAGCTGGACACACTGCCCTGCATCCATACACATATCCTCAGCAGCAGTGCTACGCCCTCCCTCCATGGCTGACTCTGCAAGTGGCACAAAATATCACTGCTGTTGAGCCACCCCTTGTTTTCCAGGCTCTCTGTTCTCTTCGTCTTCATATCTTCATGCATTGATGTTGCTGCTTTCTTAATTCCCAAAAGGTACCTGCATTTTCCTTTTCCATAGTTTAGAATTATAAGAAGCCAGCTCTGGGATGGCTGCTGGAATGGATGATGAAAAATAGCAGAGAACACATGAAGGCAAATTCAGAACTGGACGTCCAAAGTGAGTATTTGAGTCCAATGGGGAGAATGTTTACAAATCAGTTACAAATTTTCTTATTTTTTTCAAATTAAAATGCGAGACTGTCTGTCAGGGCTTACACAGAACCTGTTTGTTCATCCGGCAATGCTTTACTCCAGATCTTGTAGGAATCACAAGAGTTGCTCAGCTCTCTCTGGATGCCAGACAGCGGCTGAACGGTTTCAGGGTGAACAGCAGTGTCTCTCTCCAGCCGTTAGTTCTTAGCCCTGTTGGTGGGTTGGGAGGGAGGAAGCAGTGCTCAGCTCACACAGGAAGAGCAGGTTAACCTCAGCGTTATGGTCCTTGGTTTTCTGAAACCTTACAGGCTTCCCCCTGCAGCTGATGTCCTCATGGCATGATGCTGAGACTTCTTTCTTTTTCTGCCAACAAAATGTGTAGTTCAATTTTTTAAGTTTTTTTTTTTCTTTCCCATATACCTAAGGATGTCTTAAAAAAAAAAAAAAAAAAAAAAAAGAAAAAACAGGAGGATGGAGAGCAGGCACTTAACACTGCAGTCAGTCCTCTTTAGCTGAGCAAGGTGTCCCAGAGCTGGGTCTGACCCTGGTGGGTATTGGCTAAGTACACAAGTTTCCCCAGCAGCGCTGCGGTCAGAGGAACTGGTTGTAGGAGGCAAGTGTCCTGGGGACCCGCTCCACGGAGAGACCAATGGCCAGCCCAGCAGCCTGGCGTGGTGCTGCCCCAGGAAGGCGCCAAGCAACTGCGCTCTTGGGTGCGTGTTGCCCGTGTCCCGCAGGTCAGAGGCAGGTATGCTGCATGCCGCAGACCAGCTGGCGGTTCCAGCGCCTGTGGAACTCTGCTCTTAAGCATAGCGAGCAGCAAGTGAATGTGAGACTCCCTGGAGCAAAAACATTGCCCAGTCCTGCAAACACAGACCACTTTTTTTTCACATGCAGCCAGGGCTCAAGGGGGCTGCCCGCGTGCAGCTTGCTCGACAGAGCTGAAGGCATTTCTGAAAGGGGGAGAGCTGCTCAGTGGGCTTTTGTAGCGGCTCATCTGCCTGCGTGGGGAGAGGACGAAATGGCAGAGTAACCCGTCTCCCAGCTCAACCCCTCACACAAGCCTTTCCTTTTCCCACAGAGCCTCTGCAGATTCACAGAAGGTTGATTGTTGCAGAAGTGACAGCCCACTGAAGAGTCCAAGGGGCCCCCCAAATCATAAACAACCCCAGGCTGCTCCTCACCCTAACCCCTTGTGACATGAGCAGACCGGCAGTCCATCTGCAGGCAGCGGAGCTGCAGAGGTCCCTTTTTACAGCCTGGGAAGGGATTTCACCCAGCTCAGTGTTTGATTTGGGCAGTGCTGTAACTTGTCTCTCTTGCAACATTTCCAGTTGTTGCTTTGGCTTCATATCAATTTCAAAGCATGTACCAAAAGGTTACGCCTGCGCTGTGCTCGTCAGGAAAACAAACAGAAGTAATGGTCAGAGATGGGAGACAGGATGGCTGTCTGACTCCTTTTCACTGGGGAACGCAGCTACCAGGGTTTCACCCTGTCTGGCTGCCACCATGATGTCCTGCACCTCTGTGCTGAGGGGGATCTGGTCATACTGACTGGGTGGGATGGGATGACCGTGGGACCTGGTCACTCTGCACTCATGCTGCTGAGACCTGCCTGTAGCAGGGGAGATGCCAGTGGCTCCTGTGTCTTCCCATCTACACCCAGATCTCGGTGATGCTGTGCCAGCAAACAAAACACTGCTGTGCTCCCTGGAGCGGTGGTTTTCACGGCTGGGGTTAACGGATGTCATTGCTGCTGGTTGATTATTTCTGTGAAATGCTGGAGAAAGTAAACCCGGTTCCTGTTCAGCTGGGAGGGGAGAGCACCTGTTTGTGCCTCCCCCCGGCACTGCCATGGCTGAGCTAATATCCCGTGAGAACCTACTTTCTCACTGGCGTCGGTGTGAAACAGGGATGGGTGGTTTTGGAAATTGTTTACGTTTTAAAGAAAATATTTGCTACTGCAGTTTTGCTCTTTCTAACCTGCTCCCAAGCAACTGGCCATGTCTGACAGCAACACCACCCCCCCCGGGCACACAGCAAAACCCCACGCGCTGACCACG